AATACATGCAATCTGAGGCCTAATATAGTACACTTGTGTGCTATACTAGGCTTTAGAATATTTTAGTTCTTTAGCTTCATTTTGTCACTATAAAGTAAATAGTACAAAGTTCTAATTGCTTAGTACGTCAATGTTTATACTATGGTGCACATAGTTACAAAAACTGCTATCTAAACAGGAAGATGGGTTGCATATACAGATAATTATATAATACAAGGTATTGCTGTGTGTCACATGGTCTCGTGTGACTGTAAATTTGGGACCTGGCCCTCCAGCATTTTCCGTGTATATATTACTTAATACCTCTCATTTCCTTCCTAGAGGGGGCATTTTGAGAGCTTTGAGACAATCCCAATAACTTAGGTGCTTTATCATGTGTAATTAATTACCCAAGCATAGTTACAGGATGAGAGCTATGCTCGTGGTGTCCCTTCTTCCCATTATTGTGCTCTTTGTTGTATAATGCTTTGAAACTACTGAATGTTTTGGCCTTCACCACCACCTCACTTAGCTTGTTCTTACCACTGTTTGCAAAAGAAAACTTTTTAATGTTTTTTTGGCACCTTTGTTTCCTTAGCTTGAATCTGTATCCTCTTGTTCAAGATGTTGCCGATTTCAGGAATTCCTTGTATTCACCTAGTTGTGCTTGCGGGGGTTGAGCTCTGCTCTTTTGACCTGCCTCTCGACTGTCAATCAATCGACTTATTAACTACTAACTCCCCTCCCCCCCTCTACACCCACGCACGCGTACACACACACACACACACACACACACACAGGAAGCAACCCGTAACAGCTGTCTAACTCCCAGGTACCTATTTACTGTTAGGTAACAGGGAGCATCAGGATGAAAGAAGCTCTGCCCATCTGTTTTTGCCGGCACCGGAAATTGAACCCCAGTCCACATGACTACGTATCCAGCGTGCTGACCACTCAGCCACCAGTGCCTTGTGTGTGTGTACTCGCCTATTTGTGCTTGCAGGGGTTGAGCTTTGTCTCGATGGTCCCGCCTCTCAACTGTTAATCAACTGGTATACAGATTCCCGAGCCTACTGGGTTCTATCATATCTACATTTGAAACTATGGACTCAACCTCCACCACATCACTTCCTATTGCATTCCATTTACTAACTACTATGATACTGAAAAAAATCTTCCTAATGTCTCTGTGGCTCATTTGGGTACTCAGTTTCCACCTGTAATTACCTAAGTGTAATTACCTAAGTGTAGTTACAGGATGAGAGCTACGCTCGTGGTGTCCCGTCTTCCCAGCACTCTGTCATATAACGCTTTGAAACTACTGACGGTCTTGGCCTCCACCACCTTCTCACTTAACTTATTCCAACCATCTACCACTCTAATTGCGAAGGTGAATTTTCTTATATTTCTTCGGCATCTGTGTTTAGCTAGTTTAAATCTATGACCTCTTGTTCTTGAAGTGCCAGGTCTCAGGAAATCTTCCCTGTCGATTTTATCAATTCCTGTTACTATTTTGTACGTAGTGATCATATCGCCTCTTTTTCTTCTGTCTTCTAGTTTTGGCATATTTAATGCTTCTAACCTCTCCTCGTAGCTCTTGCCCTTCAGTTCTGGGAGCCACTTAGTAGCATGTCTTTGCACTGTGTCCCCTTGTTTGTGTTCCACTCGTGCTGAAGAGTTTGTCTTTATCCACCCCCGTCAATTCCCCTGAGAATTTTGTAGGTGGTTATCATATCTCCCCCTCACTCTTCTGTCTTCCAGTGTCGTAAGGTTCAGTTCCTTCAGCCTTTCCTCGTAGCTCATACCTCACGGTTCCGGGACAAGTCTAGTGGCATACCGCTGAATCTTCTCTAACTTTGTCTTGTGTTTAACTAAATATGGACTCCAGGCAGGAGCTGGAGTGAGCGAGTGTGCGCGCGTGCATGCGCGTTCATGTGTGTGTGTGCCATATATGTTCTCTGCATTCTCTCTACTTCAGCAATCTCTCCTGCTCTGAAGGAAGAAGTGGGCATTGAGCAGTACTTATGACAGGATAGTACCAGTGATTTAAATGGTATCAGTATTGTGTTGGGATGCCTGTATTTGAAGGTTCTTGTAATCCATCCTATAATTTTCTACCGGATTCTATATTTGCTTGGTTTTGCTCCCAAAATGTTAAGTCGTCAGACATCATTATTCCCAAATCCTTTACACGTTGCTTTACTACTATGGGCATATTTGAAGGTGTTTTGTACCCTTTGTACCCTGTATTTTGTTTAAGGTCCTCATTTTCACCATGACTATCTACCTGTTGGAGGTTCTGGGGATCAATGTCCCCAGTGGCCCAATCTCTGACCAGGCCTCCTGGTTGCTGGTCTGATCCATCAGGCTGTTTGATGTGGCTGCTTGCAGCCTGACATACGAGTCACAGCCTGGTTGATCAGGTAACCTTCGAAGGTGCTTGTCGAGTTCTCTTTTGAACACCGAGGTGTAAGCCAGTTATGCCCCCATAAGTGTAGGGAAAAGATTGTCAAAGAGTCTTGGGGCCTTTGATGTTGAACGAGTTCTATCTCGGTGTGCCTATTGCACCTCTGCTCTTCAGTGGTGCAATATTTTGCACATCCTGCTATGCTTTCTGCTCTATTGGTTTTAATTCTGCTTGCAGATTTGAAACCAGTCCTAGTATTTTCCAAGTGTAGATTATTATGCATCTCTCCTGCCTGCACTCTAGGGAATAGATTTACCATTTTTAGGTAGTCTCAAGAATTTAATAATTAAATAAATAAATAAATAAATAAAATGTTTATTCAGGTAAGTTACATACATACAAGAGATTTTACAAAAATTGATAGATTTATAAATAGAGCTAGTACATACAATGCCTAAAGCCACTATTACGCAAAGCGTTTCGGGCAGGAAAAACATTAATGACTAAAATTTAATACTAATTGAGTATAAAGAATAATTAATTTTTTTAATAAAAAATTTAATGTTTTATAGAGTGGATTCTAGCAGTAAAAGACCTTTACACACTCTCCGGGTCAGCAGTTTCTCCAGCTTTGAATAGAGCTGTTAGTGTGCAAAAATATTCCACTTTACACAGCACTAATGTCTTAAAAAGTATCATTGGTATGGTATCTCTTGTTTGGAAGGTCTTTGTTATCCAACCTGGCATTTTTCTTGCAGTTGTGACAGCAACTTTGTTGTGTTCTTTAAAATTAACATCTTCCAACATGATTACAATAAAAAGCAATGTGAAAGATTCAGGAGTAATGTGGTTTGACTGCATTTTATATGTGGTTTCTGCTTTGGTGCTTTTTGTTTTTTCCCCATTGCATAGTAATTGGAAGTTATCCTCATTAAACATGATTTTTCTGTGGCCCATTATAAGACTAACATCTGATTGAAGATCTGCTGTGTCCTCTATATTGTCTACTCTCATGAAAACTAGTGTCATTGGCAAAGGATGATCAGTACTATAGTTTGTATTCTTGTCAACATCTGATATGAGGATGAAGAAAAGTACCAGAATAAGTACTGTATCTCGGGGAACTGAACTTTTCACAGTGGATGAATCAGAATTTACTTTGACTATAACACTCTGGGTTCTGTTTATTAGGAAGTTGAAGCTCCATCTCCCTACTTTGCCAGTAATTTGCTTTGAGTGGATTTTGTGCACAATAACACCATGGTCACATTTGTCTAAAGTTGTTGCAAAGTCTGTGTATATTACATCAGCATTTTATTTGTCTTCCATGGCACCTAAGGCCATGTCATAGTGGTCAAGCACTTGTGAGAGACAGATGTGCCCTGTTCTGAACCCCATGTTGCCCAGGGTCATGTAGACATTGTGATTCCATGTGTTTTATGATCTTACTTCTTAGCACTGTTTGAAAGATTTTTATGATGTGTGATGTTAGAGCTATTGGTCTATATTTGCATCAGCTTTACTACCTCGTTTGCGAAGTGGTGCAATCACTGCCGTTTTAAGTATTCCGGGATAACATCTAGGCTCTATCTCCAAAAGATGTTTAGGGCTTGTGATAGTGTTTTTTTTGCAATTTTTGATAAATAAAATTCCAGGAATCTGGGCCTGGTGCAGAGTGCATTTGATATGATTCCATACTTAAGTACCTGTACCTGAAATTTATCACTTTTAAAACATCCCGTTAATTTTCTGATATGAAAATAAGGAAAAGCAGTGATGCAATGACTGTCCCCTGAGGTACAGAGCTTTTCTCCGAGCCTGAACTATATTTTATTTGGCCGACTTATTCTTCGCGTTCGGCTTGACAGAAAATTTAATATACATCAACCTACTTTACCTGTTATTCATACTGACCTCATTTTCTATGCTATCACTCCATGGTCACATTTATCAAAAAACCTTTGCAAAGTCTATGTATACCACATCTGCATTATGTTTTTCTGTTAATGCATTAGTGATTTTGTCACAGTGATCGAGTAGCTGCTAAATTCATGTTGATCTGAGTTATGGAGGTCATTTGTCTATAAAACTGGAGATCTGACTCCTGATCACTCTCCCAAATACTTTTATTATGTGGGACGTTATTGCAACTGGTCTATAATTCTTATCCAATGCTTTGCTCCTTCCCTTGTGTAGAGGAGCCATATCAGCTGGTTTTAACACTTTCGATATCTCCCCAGTGTTCAAACTTTTTTTCCCCACACTATACAGAGTGCTTGTGCTAATGGTACAGTACTTTACATTTCTTTATAAATATTTAATTCCACGAGTCTGGAACTGGGACCAAGTGCATGGGCAAGTAGGACCTCTTAACTTACCCAAGTGAGACATTATTTTACATTGTATGCAGTTACAATTGTCATCATTTAAGATAAAATGAAAATAGTATTCAACAGATACGATTACAGAGTCATTGGAGTACTTAATATTAAAGGAAATTTAATGCAATGTAGGTCAATATTTGTCAATGAATATTACATTTAGTAGTTTTAATAATAATTGTTAATTTAATTATTTTTAAATAAAACTAATGTCATGGAGTAAAACATAATTGTATAGTATTCATTGATAGTAAGTTTTATTACTAGTGTATTTCTCTAAATATTATTGGACTATCTATTGTTATATGATTCTGCATGAGAAACTCCTCCTGTGGAGATAGAGGAATGTACCTGCCCCGCATCACTGGGAAGATCTGTCGCTGCAAGATCTTGTCCATGTGCAGCTCCGTGTGGCGGGTGTCACTTTCACTTGCTCGGTAAACAAGGTCACTGTAGTCTTCTTTCTTCACTTTGCTGCACAGTAAACAAAGGTCTATGAATACGGTGAATAAAGAATGACTTTGAAAGATTTTGGTACTTAATGGCCCATTTGATACAAAGCAGACTGATACAGAGAGCGAAACTTGATACGAATTGCAGTGCATCAAGTTTTTCTCTGTGGAGTTCAAAGAACTCCCACAGAGTTCTTTGAACAAATTTCAAGTACTGTATCTGAGTATATTCAGTAACATATCAGAATTAAAATGTAAATCAATAGAAATTTAAAGCTAAATTTTCAATCACAACTGAATGTCGGGTATGTTATGGGCATGGAGAAGAGTGAGCGAGCAAGTGAAATTACTTAAAGTGTAGTTGCAGGATGAAAGCTACGCTTGTGTTGTCCCGTCTTCCTTGAACTCTGTCATAACGCTTTGAAACTACCGACGGTTTTGGCCTCTACAACTTGCTAACTTTACTTGTTCCAACCATCTACTACTCTGCAAAAGAAAATTTTCTAATTTTTTTCAGCACCTTTGTTTCTTCTGCTTCAATCTATGACCTCTTGTTCTTGAGGTTACCGGTTTCAAGACTTCCTCTTTGTCAATTACCGTTATTGTTTTGTTAAGTGATGATCACGTCTCCGTTTTCTTTCTTCTAGCTTTCTTCTTTGTCCAGCCCAAGTGGTTGTAACACACTTTAGAGTGAAAGGTAAACCAATATCAGACACAGCCTATGTCTTATAAGAAAGAGAATCAAAGCTTATATTTGTTCTTGTAGCTACTGCTTGAATAACAAGCAATTTGATGTACTGCAAGCAGGCAAGCGAGGAGGAAGATGATAGTAACAACATTACAACCCAATTCTTTGTTTCAGAATGGACAATTGCCTTAACCACAATTCCTTTAAACCAAATGTCACTCCATAAAAATGTTCAGTGAATGACGTCATTTAATTATCTTTTGTCATCATGTTCACTTATATGCATCTTTATGTTATGTAATCAAGTTGGATTAATTTGTGCTTTATACAGTGTAATATGCTCACACTAGTATGCTTATTCTCTTTGACACTCACTGGTTTGTTTTACTTTATCCCTACATACATACATAAAGGTGAACATTTTAATGGTGATGAGTGATATAAGGATGGTGTAGCAAGCACTAGTAAAGCACTAACTGTACTTACCAGTAGGGTGAGCCGGGACAAGCAACAGCATACACAGCATTACCATAATAACCAAAGGTGTGCATCAGGTGGTGGTGCTCCATGCGTCCTTTCTCATACCCCCCGAGGCACTGCAACACAAGCATGCTCTTACACTTCCTTCACAATACTACTATGTGCATATATTACTTATTGACAACAGAAGAAAACCTGCAAGGAAAATATTAATTCATCAGAACATTTATTACACATCATGCATTACCATGACCAGGGGACCACACAGACCAACTCACCATGACCAGGGGACCACACAGACCAACTCACCATGACCAGGGGACCACACAGACCAACTCACCATGACCAGGGGACCACACAGACCAACTCACCATGACCAGGGGACCACACAGACCAACTCACCATGACCAGGGGACCACACAGACCAACTCACCATGACCAGGGGACCACACAGACCAACTCACCATGACCAGGGGACCACACAGACCAACTCACCATGACCAGGGGACCACACAGACCAACTCACCATGACCAGGGGACCACACAGACCAACTCACCATGACCAGGGGACCACACAGACCAACTCACCATGACCAGGGGACCACACAGACCAACTCACCATGACCAGGGGACCACACAGACCAACTCACCATGACCAGGGGACCACACAGACCAACTCACCATGACCAGGGGACCACACAAACCAACTCACTAACCATTGACCATCTAAAGAATGATGAACACTGGGTTCCACTGTGATTTAATTTCACATTGAGAAGGTCAGACCTACTTTACACATCATTTGTGACGCTTTTAAGAAAGATTTTATACAGTACTTAAAAAATTATTCAAAAAAGTTAAATTTTTTTAAAAGACTTTATTATGATCGATATAAAGTTTTTATATTTTTTACAAAGTTTTTACTTTGCAATCGTTTTGGTGATATTGCTCTATCCTTGCACATGATGTAACATATAAATGTGTGTGACTTCTCAAGCAGGATTGTTCCGGACGGCAGTCCATTTTCATCATAACTAGTTTGCATGAATTATATTATACTATGCAACAATCTTTTATATATTATTTGCCCCTGGGTAGTATATATTATTTTCTAATTATCCCTCCAAAGGACTCAAAATGACTTATTCCCCTAAAACTTTGTTTTAACCTTTGCTTTAGACAGCTTAAGGAAGATGTCTGTAAGGTCACTATGGCTGCCAAATTTTCATCTGGAGCTGTGATAATTCAACCCATCCTCAGGTCAGGCTTATTGAAGGGGCCAGATTACAGCAAATTAAAAGTTGTTCAATTTCCATCAATTTTTTTTTTTTTTTTTTTTTTTTTTTTTTTTTTTTTTTACTAATTGTATATAAAAATGGCTGCAACTGCCCTATGTTTCAGTACCACACACTAAATAGAAAGGGAGGATTTTTTTCTAACGAATTTTACACATTTTCAATAATTTATTACAACCACATGTTTCAAATGAAATCTTTTCTATGACACTCATCTATCACATTAGTACCCCCTCCCTATCTGGGCTGTTGTCGTCAGGAGGCTTGGTGGGCAGCTGCCAGTGTGTGATCCTCCATGGGTCGGTCCTCTGTCCTTTTGAGGCCTTATGCTCCTGCTGCTGTCTTCTCCAATTTTGCCAGATGTCTTTTCCTTGTGTTTTATTTTTCTCCCCCACCCCCTCTTCCCCTTTCTAATTGTCATAACCCACCGACCTTTTACCAGTCTTGATTATTCTTTCGGACTACTTCTGTTTTGATGTCCGGGTGTTTGGGAAGGCATACTCTCTCACCCGTAGAACTGTAGTACCCAACGTCTTGAGCCAACCCGTTCTCGCAAATTCGTAAAGTCAATATTGACTTATTAACTACGTGCATAGGTGATATACTAAACATAATAGATACCCCTAAAAAGATTCATAGAAAACACCGACCTTACCTAACCTTGTTAGTACCTTAAGATAAGCATCTTATTGCTTCGTAATTACAATTATTACTTAACCTATACCTATTATAGGTTAGGTAATAATTGTAATTACGATGCAATAAGATGCTTATCTTAAGATACTAACAAGGTTAGGTAAGGTCTGTGTTTTCTATGAATCTTTTTAAGGGTATCTATTATGTTAAGTATGTCACCTATGCACATATTTAATAAGTCAATATTGACTTATTAAATTTGCGAGAACGGGTTGCTTGAGCAAGGGGACGCTTTTATTGTCAATCCTCCTTTCGTTACTGAACCCATTATCAACGGACTGATGGTTCTTAAGGTGGCAATTGTGGGGCGTATACTCACGATGCACCCCTAGGGAGGGCCCCCACCAAGACCGGCAACATGTCTCTTATTGGGACTATCCTCTATTTGTGGCTCCATGAGGGGGCACATTCGGGAATGAAAGTATTACCTCTCGTATTTATGTCGCTGAATACTGTTCCTCTTATGACTTCTCAGGCTCATGGGGTGGGCTACCAAGCCCCCCCGAGTCGGACTGTGTTGGAAGAACGGGCTCTGTAGACCTTGCTACATTGGGCCCAGACCTAGCTCCTCCTTTGACCCTCCCGACGACTACTCCTGGCTCCCCTCCCTCCTCCTGTGGTTGGGTCGAGCCACACGCCCCCAGCTGTGACCACCTCATCCCCTGGTGCAGCCAAGTCTCTCATTGTGACCACTGCACCTTTTAACCCCTCTCTGGGGGTTCTCAATGCCGTCCCCACCAAGGCCGCACTCGCACAATCCCTTCCCATACTAATATGTACCAAGCTTTATTTGGTCCTGCTTTGTGGGCTAAATACTTTTATCTCCTCCCTCTGGATTCTACACCTGTTGATTTCTCACTCCATAAACACCTTGTTGATTCAGTGGATGCCTGTTACTTTTAACCCCACCCATTTAGGTACATGTGTCATCGCTGCTCCAAAACTGGATGCAGCTATCTGCTTAGCCGCACTGTTCTGCATTGGGGAGACCCCTGTTCAGGTCTCCAAAAATGCTCGGTTAAATGCCAGTGTTGGCACTGTTCTCCTCCCACACCTTGTTGCAACTGGTGTTAGGGACCTAAAAGGATATTATACATATCCTCAAAGCCCAAGGCCATCCTGTCCTCCAGGTGGACACGTTCAGTTGACCCCCTCTCATGGTTGCCGCCATCAACCCCTTCGAGTTGTGAAAATCACTTTTGATAATAGGTCTCTTCCTCCCTCTATCATTCTTGCTGGTGCCAGGTGCTCCGTTCAGGAGTACATCCTCTCTCCTAGACTTTGTAATAAGTGCTAGAAGTTCAGGCACAGTGCCCTCAAATGCACGAGTCTTGTTTCTCTATGCCCCATGTGTGGCGATGATAGCCACTAAGACAGATTGCTCATCTCCCCCAGGCTCGCTTCCTCAATTGCAGTGAGGCCCACCCTACCTTCTCCTGCACGTGTATCCACTACAAGCTTGAAGAAGCAATCCTCAACTTGAAACACCGGGATTGTTTGACTTTTCCTGAAGAGACACACCAAGTCCGCCGTCTCCACCCTTTCACTGGCATGTCTCATGCTCACTTGTTGCGTTCTACCTCTCCTCGTCCTTCCCTCCTTCCTCGATCCTGCAACCGTTTCCAGACCTTGGACCCGGACACGCCCACCACCTCCTCCCCTGTTCCTTTACATTTTGTCCCAGAAGGTCTCCCTCCTGATTCTCCTCCTGGAGTTTTCCCCCCTTTCCTACACTGTCCACCATGTCTCCTGTGTCTTCTTTTCCTTCCCTCCCCCCCCCCCCAGTCCTTCTTCCCGACCCTCCCCACAATCTCATGGCCCTCCATGCCACCTGTCTGTCCAGGCTGATGTCCATCCTCCCAACAATCTTCATGTTGTTCACTCCCGTTCTTCTTCTCCTGCCGAGACCATTGAGTCTGTCGCCCAGTACGTTGTTGCTGGAACACCTGTCTCCAAGTCAGAAACGTAAGCCTGGCTCCTCTCCTTCCTCCCCGCCAGCAGGTAAGAAGGCATCGCTTTCTTCCTCGCCCCCCAACTGACTATCACTCCGTCCCCTCCCATTTCGGTAGTCGGGCCCCCTGTCCCAGCTATGGAGACAGGGGACCAGCTCTTTCGCCCCCGATTCCCTCTCAGTTGCTGCCCTTGCCGAGGTGTTCTCCCCAGTTTCTACCCCACCACCTGCTGTCTTTGACAGCCCCTCTCTGTTCTCTCCCCCTCCTCCGAACGCCATCTGTCTGCCTCTGGTCTGTCCTCCCACTCCCTTCCCTCCATCTTTACTGAGTTTACCCATACTCCCTAACCCTGATTTTGCTGACCCTGATCCTGAGCTTATTTAATATACTGTGTTCTTCTTTACCTTTGTTTCTTCATTGTTCTCTGTTGCTGTCCTTTCTCTTTTTGATAATGTCTATTCTGCAATGGAATATTTGTGGATTTTATGCCAACTTCCATGAACTCCAACTTCTGATTACACAGTTTTCACCATTTTGTGTGTCTCCAGGAGCTGATGCTTGGTGCTTGTCTTGGTCGCTTTCATGGTTATTCCTTTCTTCCCCTCCAGCTCTTACTGGGGCCCATAACTCTACTGCTCTCTTGATTCGTACTAATATTCCCTTCGTCCCACTACTGTTTCCATTGTCTATCCCTTGTTCTGCTGCCCGTGTTTTTGTGAGTAAATGTCTGTTCCATTTATTTCCCCTCAAATGTCCTGCTTTCCCTTCCTGATCTTAAGCACCCCCTGGACTCCTTGCCTGAGAAGGTGCTTCTGTTGGGCGATTTCAACTGACATACCCTCTGGGGTAATGTTCTGACAACCCCGTGGCCGCCTTCTCAAACTGTTCGTCCTCACTTCTTCCCTCTTCTAAATTCTGGTGAGCCCACCCATGTGGACTCTTGAACTCGCACCCTTTCCTGTCTTGATCTTTCCGTCGTCCCTTTACTTAGATCTCATATGGCGAGTTCTTGATGACCTCCAAAACAGTGAAGATTTCCCCCATCCTTGTTTCTTTTTTCTCTTTTTCACCCCTCTCCTTCCCTAGGTGGCAGTTTGCCAAAGCTGACTGGAACCTATTCACCCTCCGTGCTACTCTCTCTGACCTCTCCTCGTGCCCTCTTCCTCGTGCCCT